CCTCCAATTGGAGGTTGACAATCTATATACCCTATATTCCCTAATCCCCTTGGAAGTGGCAAGGTATGGTAGATTCTGTGGAGAGGTAAGTGAATTACATTTTCAGGTAGGTAAAATATTATCTTCAGACCATGCTATTAACCTCTTCTCAGAACAGTTAGCTAAAATCTCACATTGAAAATACTGTGGAGGGACCAGTGTAAGAATGAAAAAATGATGAGCTTCTTCCTGAGACTATACCAAAACAATCAGAAAACACCTGGGTGTGAACTCTCTGTATTGATACCACTTGGCTTGATACTGTGGAAGTAATAGTTCTGCTCCATTGGAAGAGACTGGGGGGGGGGGGAATTCCTATAGAAAAGAAAACTGGAGAGATGCATGGACTAGACAGGAATAATCACATCTGTATAAGGTCCCTCACTGAAACACTGTGGTATGGATTACAGCAAGTATGTATGCCAATAGCTGTCTTGTTGAGTGTTTATTTAGCAACTTTTTATTTTTATTACTGGTATGGTATGGCTTCAAAGGTAAATAAAATATGTACATATATTGCCAAAGCAGTCTTGAAGAAACCCCATCTCAAAAGTAGGCACTGAGTCAGAGAAGAGTGGTTTAAACTTTTTGTTACCTCCTACTCAATGTGAATTTTGGGAAAAAAGAAGTTTTTCCTTTAAGGCATCACCAACCATTTGGTAGGTTCTACGTCTTTTTCTGTTTGTTTGTTTTTCCCTTTCTTTTGTGAACACCTCACCTCCTCATGGAGACAAAATCCAGAGGTTAATGAGACCATAATGTAATTTCAGTAACATGAGACAAAGGTGCCTTGGGTCTTCTACTTCCCTACCTGTAGGATTTCATTCAGAGAACATCAATGGTCAGATGCAAGAGCATTCATGACATGCCTAATCTGATGGAAGATGAAAAGTATGATCTCCCATGGAGGGATAAATAGGCCAAGTGAGTTGTTTAACTCACCCTGTCAAAGTGGAAGGAGATAAATCTCAAGAAGTAGAAGAAGCCCATGCTAGGAAAAGATAATTTTGATTGCTTCTGAAAAGAGCTATGAGAACAATGTTCATCTTACTGCCTGCATGGAACAAAGTAGATAACAAATCACCCTACCAAGCAACCTGAGTCTTGAGAAGGAAGCAGCAGTCTGGAAATAAAGTCAACTTATCCATGCAGTAAAGAATGCAAAGAACATCCAAGACAGAAATATTAAAGCAAAAATTCCTCAAGTAAGAAGAAGAAAACACATCATAAGAGAAAGATGATACGGTAAGCAGGTGACAAAAGGTTCAAACAAAGGAACTGTGAGGGTTCTTGAGAACTAAACAAAGAATCCACCATGGAGAACGAACTAGATAAAGATGACTGATTATAAAGGTCCTAAAGAGGCCCACAAGAACCAGAAAAATAGAATGGTGAGAGAAAAGAAGGAAGGTCACCAATAAATCCTCTCTGTATCTTGCAATTGTAGAAACAGATAGACTGCTCT